TAAAGATAGTCATAAATAATTCTTGACAGGAAATGCTATTTAGCCATTGTAACGTAATACCCATTTCTTTGTATTGCATATAATTTTATACTGAATATTCATTGATTATTGTCATGCATGTTACATAATATTATTTGTTAATTATTGATTGTCATATAAATAAAATCTATTTTTATACATTGTGATATTAATTATATGAAATACATTCCACTTAACACGATAAACGTTCTTTGGGATCTGAGAATTGAAATAGTGGGCAATTCTCACTGTTACTATTATTATCCCATAAATATCCCCACATATTGGAGGCACGGTGCTGAGATCGTTTAAGTTGAAATTGTATTTCATATATAATAATAATATTGGTGTAATTCATGCAATTTAATCTTAATATAGAAAAGAGTTTTGTATTGAGATTAATCAATAAAATAAAAAAAAATGGCCAGTGGCAGTGATAAATCTGTAACAGATAATACTGAAATAATTGAAGACCTAAGAAAACATGCTCTAGTTCATATTCATAAACATATGAAAAATGATGCAACCTATGAGGTTTTGTTGAAAAGCATAGAATGGGAAGCTAAACACACCATTCTAACTGATGAACACATCATCATATATCTTAAAGAAATTGCTGAACAAAAGAACATAGAAAGGAAAATGGCGTTCATAATACACTCTTGGCCTTTCTTTATGACAGCACTTCTTAAGGTGTGTGATGAAAACAAGTCATTGAATGCCAAATTGGATACGTACAGTGACGATTTGGGCATTCAAAATGGGAAATACCAAGATTTACTTGCTGAGCATAAAACTCGTCAGGCTGATCATGAAAAAGAAATGGAAGCTTTGATGGATAAATATGCACAGGAAATAAATCAGCTTAAAATGCAATTGGATGAGTATGAAAAGGAGAGTCAGAAATTAGACAGTGAGGTTGGTAGTCATCATTCTGTGCCAAAAAGTTGCACAAAAATGCAAGAAAAGACTACCTGTAAATCCCCTCCTTATTATGATTTTCCCACACCAAACCAGGTTTTCATAAAACAGTCTGTAAGTAAAGGTGTGAGTAATTCTAAAAAATCACCTATGGAAAAAGATTCCCCATCTCATGACATTACCAAGCCACCTTGGCAATCTTGGGCAGAACAGTTTGAAAAAGCTGTCTTGGCCAAACTTGAGAGGGAGAGTCCAATTCAAGATGATAGGAATGAAAACAGACATGGTTCTGTTCACTGGCAGGATTCTGATGCTGATCAGAATTGTGACAGTGAACAAGAAGCTCAGAGTGATGGGAGTGAAAGTGATTGCACTGTCCACTCTGAAGGCCATGTAACTGATATGCCATCTGTACTGTTGTACGGGTCTAATTCCTCTTCAGCAGACAGATCGCATAGACGTTTACCCAAACACAGAAACAGAGATCGTAAATCAACGACGCCTGTTTATGAAACACCAAAGGCCATCAAATTCCTTAGAGAGACTGTCCCACAATTTTCTAGAGGTTCAGGAAACATATCTGAACATCTGGAAAATTATGATAGAGCAATGAATTCATTGGGCATGTATGATGACATTCATAAGAAATGGTTCATTACATGGACCTTTGATTCAATGTGTCGTGTTTATCTAGAAAGTCTTCACGCTATACAGTTAATGTCCTGGTCCAAGATGAAATATGAAATAATCATGGAATATGGTAAGTATAAAACCATTGCCTCTGCAAAGAGGGCGCTTTATAACTTAAAGTGCCGTCCAGATCAAAGCCCCAGAGAATTTTTAATAATTCTTAAAAATGCATACTCCGTGGCCCAAAGAAAACCCAGGTATGAAAGCTCAGACTTCAAAGATCTGTATTTTCATGCCATGCCAGTAAACATACAAATGAATCTCGCAAGAGATTACGATTGTAAGTTACCATTAGAATGGCTAGTCAGTCAGTGCATGAAGTTGTATACTATACACCATGCACATGACGAAAATCAGCCAAAGGTTAAGAAACCTGGTGATAAAATGGTGTCAGAGACTAAAATTCAGTCAGGTTTAGAAACCCAACAGAAAAAGAGGACCTATTCCGAGGTTTTGAAAACACCAAAACCTCAGAAACAGGAAAACGCCAGAAGCAATTCTGCAAACTCCTCTAATAACTCTGAAAAATCCAATGCCAATGGGAATAAACGCCCCTGGGTTAATAAGAACCAAGGCAATTCCCAATGGAGAAGGAATCCTCAGGGAAATAGGAGATATGGAAACAGAAATAACCAATCTGCTTCCAATAACTCCCAACAGTCTCAGCCATCCCAACCAAATTCTAATGGGCAAAGACAAAATGGCAATGGCGGAAATAATTTGCGTCGTCAGGTTGGTCAATTGACTGACCAGATGGGCAAATTAATGGAGGAAATGACAAAGATCAACCAAGTCTTTGCTCTCAATCCTTTTTTAGGGATAGCTCCAATTGCAGAACTACCTGTGCAACCGCAGCAACAACAACAGGTGCCGCAGCAATAATAGCCACTGTGACTAAACAGGATAGGTTATCAGTAGATGTAATGCCTAACCCTGTTTCCTTTCCAGGTACTAACAGTCAAACAAACAATAGTTGTGTTAGGAAACCTATTGCCTATCCCGTCACTTCACTTTCGGGTGAAGGAGGCGCGACGTGTTCCTCTGTTTTTTCATTTCAGCCAAAGGCTAAAATAGCCCCAGCAGCCACAAGTTTCCAGAATCCAGACCTGAAAGAGTTAACTGATGAGATGCCGACCACTAGTTCCCGCTTGACAGTTCAAGATATGCCTAAAAAGGATGGGCCTGTGGGTAAGACTGAGCATTCCTCAGTACAGGTAGAAACTACTGCTGTGACCGGTAATGTATGGAAAACAAGTAATATGTTGACACATTCTAAATTCTTATGTGAATTAGAAGAACATGAAGGAAGGTACTACATGTCTGTAGAAATACAGGATTCGTTACCCCAGCCTTTTAAAGGGTTAATAGATACTGGTTCACAAGCCACTATCTTATCCAATACCTACTTCCAGCAGGTAATGGACTTAGCAACGGATAAGCCGAAGCTAAGAGGTTTCCCCAATGCTCTGTTGAGTGTAGGAGGAAATGCCCTTCATGTTATTGGCAATACCTGGTTAAAGTTTAAAATAGGTAACAAAACCTTTAGACACCCGGTGATAGTGGTAGATCTCCCCTATGACCGACTGATTCTGGGTATAGACATACTCAGAAGACTTAACACAATTATTGACTGTGTAAATGGAATTGTATGGTCACAAGCTAAGGTTCCCATAACCTATGAGAAATCACATGTTCAATCTGATCGTAACTGCCATGTGATAGAAGAAAGACCTGACTCAATAGAGGTACATTTTAGGAATAGTCAGTCACCTGACGTGACTATCCTGCAGGTGAATGATGCAATCGCACCTGTAGATGAGCATTCCGTAAGAATTGCTCCAGAGAGGATCAAGAATGTCTCTCTTGAAGGTGATGTTTTAACCATTTCTCTCTACAGGGACTATGTTGAATCTGTAGATCTGGCAGGTCATGCTCAATTCCTTGCCAGAATTGAAAGGGTTAATAACAACCTATTCTTTCCTATGCAAATAAATGACTTAGGAAGAAGTAGGAATGCAAAGCTGGACTTACAGAGTGAGAACAGCTATATTAGCAGAAGTCTGTTAAGGCAGATCGCTAATCCTAAAATGATCAGGTACACTTCCCCACATGACAGGTGGATCCAGAATCTGGATGGCGAATCAGAGAGTCACAATGTGATAGCAAAGTGTTTACTATCTATTTCCATCGGAAATAAGACCGTTAAACATTTATTCTTAGTGATAGACGAACCTCGCTATCAGGTTTACGTTGGCAATGATGTCATACATCGCTTTGCCATACACCTTGATCTGATTAATTCCAACTTGTGGACAAGGTTAAAAGGTAATCCTTGTGGATACCTACACGAGGAAAACGCCCTGAAATCAGGACAAATACTCCCATATGCGGTAAGTATCCAAGTTCCTGATGACATAACCATTCCACAGGGGACAAGTAATTTTCTTTTACCCCTACAGGTCAAGGAGGGTCAGAGATTAGAAAACTCTGATGCCCTAATCTGTTTATCCAACAGGATACAACAATTAGGGATGGTGGTAACACATACACCAATGGTAAGTATTGGTAAGAATCCCACCTATATCATGGTCAACAATGTTACTCCCAATAGTGTTACCTTACCAAAAGGAACATCATTAGGTCTAGCATTGGATGCTGAGTACTATACATTTGGTTTCCAAAACCAAATTATAGGCCTCATCCCTGAAGAATACTTAACTGAGGACGAAATTGTCGATCAAATATTCCATTCCTCCCCAGAAGGATTATTCACTATCCTATCTGTATATCCCTTCAACGTTGAAGAAGGCTCGTGTAAAATCGAAGAAGCATCAATTACCTTCGATCATCCGCTCAATGAGCAGGAATCACAAGAGTATCACGACCAAAGAGAAAAGGTAAGTCAACACCGAACTGACCTAACTTCTAGGCTTGAAGAAGCTTATGAGATAGGCCAGCCTGAAATCTTTCCAGGATTTCAGGAAAGGCTAGAAGAGCAAATATCTTTAGCTGACGGTTGCTCCAACGATGCTGAGCGCAACAGCTAAAGGAAATCCTTTTGGAATTCCAAGATATTTTTGCCAAAGATTCCTACGACTGTGGGTTAACTAACCTCCACGTAGCCAGAATACAAACTGATCCAAATTTACCACCTGTATTTATCAAACAATATAGACTCCCATTAGCGTCATATGATGGTCTACAAGACATCATTCAGAATTTAAAGGAAAGGGGCATTATACGTCCAGTGCACAGTTCGTATAATAATCCGATCTTGGGGATTCTGAAACCTAATGGACAATGGCGTTTATGCGCTGACTTACGACAGCTAAATAAACGCGTCTATATGTCTGGTTGGCCAACGCCATACATAGACCAATGTTTGGTACAAATGCAGGGATCCAAAATATTCACTGCCATTGACTGTGCGCAGGGATATTGGACTGTACCAGTCCATAATGAAGACCAATACAAATTGGCCTTCACATTTGGAAAGCAGCAGTATACCTGGACCCGTATGCCTTTCGGTTATATAAACTCTGGTCATGAATTCGCTGTGTTCATGCATAAAGCTATGCCTGACGCACTCGAGAGAGGAACGTTATCATATGTCGACGATGTCTTGCTGAAAAGCACTTCCCTTGATAAGCATATCTTAGAGATTAGACATGTTCTCACTCAGTTAAGAGAGGCAGGGATTAAACTGTCTTTACAAAAGGCGCAATGGTGTCGCACCCATGTCAATTTCCTCGGACATGAGGTAACTTCTGAAGGATTAAATCCCCAGAGGAAGAAGGTTGAAGCCGTACTAAAGGCTAAAGCACCTTCAAACATCAGGGAATTAAGATCGTTCCTTGGTATGACTAACTACTCCCGTAAATTTATAGATAACTATGCAGAAATAACTAAACCACTCTTACACCTGCTTAAAAAGGAAACTACCTGGAACTGGGGGGAGCCTCAGGACCAAGCGGTAAGTGAACTGAGGAGGAAGCTCACTCAGGCACCCTGTTTAGCATACCCAGAGGGGGTAAACCCTTCTATCTGGAGACAGGATATACCAATTTAAGCATCAGTGCTGTTCTGTATCAGAAGCAGGACAGTTTAAACAAAGTTATTGCATATGCTAGCAAGACTTTGTCACCTGTTGAAGTTAAATTCAACACGTGTGAGAAGGCGTTATTGTCGACTGTCTGGGCACTACAAAATTTTCGTAGCTATATCCAAGGTGAGAAAATAATTGTAGAAACAGCTCACCAACCTCTACAGTATCTGCAGAGTGAAAGAATTAGAGACGGTAATCTCTCTAACAGTCGGATTACTGCATGGACTCTATCCTTACAGGGATGGCCGTTAGAAGTCCGTTATAAACATAATAAGAGAAGCCCAGTTGCCCAAGGTTTAGCAGAATTACATGACTGTACTGCCCCATCTCTGGATGATAATGACACCGGAGATGACTTCCTAGAAGAGCAATTGCTATCTCCTTATAAAGTTTATGACGAGGAATACTGTCGACCACTACCGTGGGTATACATTGATGGTTGTTCATATCACCACGTAGTTGGTACTGAATGGAAGTTAGCTGCAGGTATCGGAATCGCCTGGATAGGTGATTATCCTAATGTATCTATAGGATACAATATTGGTCCCAAAAGCAGTCAGATAGCCGAACTCTGTGCAGTATATAAGACCATTCAAATGGCAATAGAATATAGTATCAAAGAATTTGTTATTATAACTGATTCTAACTATGTTCGCAACAGTTTCGTCGAATATCTGCCTAGCTGGAAACGTAACCAAATGCTGAAAAGCAATAACAAACCTGTTAAACATGGGAAGTTGTTTTGTAAAATCGATGAACTGGTTAAGGAAAATGGTTTATCCATATATTGGAAGAAAACCAAAGGCCATTCTAAAATAGAAGGTATTGACAAGGATGGTAATGACTTAGCTGATTCACTGGCAAAACAAGCTGCCATCAATGGTGAAACCCTAAACATCGATGATCTTATGGGTTCAATTCATGTTGAAGCCATAACTAGACGACAGGCTAGAGATAATGCCGACTTAAACGTCGTGCAATGGAGCCAAGAAGCTCCTAGTGAGGACCTGATTACCAGTCAAAAGAATGATCCCGTCATAGGTATATTCTATAGACATATAGAAGACCCTACTGCCAATCCCATCACAGATGTGGATTGCAAAGATAATGAAGATTTACGAATCTTGATGAGATATAAAGTCCAATTTAGTATCATGGATGGGTTACTGGTCAGAACTTCTAAACATGGTATACAACAATGGGTAGTCCCAACTGTATACAGAGGGTTAATGCTCCAACACGCACATGATGCACCTACATCTGGGCATCGTGGTGATAAGATCACATATGAGATATTGCGTGATTATGCATATTGGCCACACATGTTAAGGGATGTTAAGACATACTGTCAGGGATGCTTGATTTGTCCGCAATATCAACCCCATGGTCCAACCCATCGTGCACCACTTCAGAAGAGGGGGGTGTCATTACCCTGGTCTGATATTCAAATTGACTTTATAGGTCCTGTAACAAGATCTTCAAGAGGTAACAAATACATGTTAACCGTTACATGTATGTACACAAAGTGGATAGAATGTTTGCCTTGTAAAGAGAACACGAGTACCGTGTGCGCCACTTTGTTGATTAACCATGTCTTTTCCAGGTTCGGTCTGCCTCAGAGAATTGAGTCAGACAGAGGTAGTCATTTTACCAGCGAAGTAATGGCTAAGATGTGGAACATTCTAGGTGTTAAACGAAAGCTACATATTGCATACCGCGCTGCGTCTAGCGGGGGGGTAGAGCGATATAACCAGTCTATCGTTAATATTCTAAAGAAATATGTTAAGGAGTCTGGTAAAGACTGGGACATTAAATTGCCCCTAGTTTTAATGGCGATTAGAGCTACACCTAGAACTGCTACCAAATTGTCACCTTTTGAATTGATGACAGGAAGAAAGATGGTTTTACCACAGCATTTACTATATCGTACTTCGGATCATAACTTGATCAATGCTGCCACTACGCATCAGTATATCGAAGATTTGCGCAAGCATTTACAGCATGCGTTTGCTTTTGCCCAAAAGAATCTAGAAAAAGCAGCGACAGGGGTTAAGACCTATTACGATCTAAAAACCACGAAAAAGGAATATGAGATAACAGATCAAGTCTATCTGTATAACTTTGCGCGAAATCAAGTCAAGGAAAATAAATTTTTACCTTCTTGGAAAGGGCCATATGTCATCATTGACAAAATTTCCCCAGTAGCGTACAAGATAAAAATTCCTAAGGATGGTGATTTTATTGAAAAGTGGGTTCACATTAACCAGTTGCGTGCTTGTCATCCTAAATCTCAATTAAGGATTATAGGTGTGGATTCGGATGCAGAAGGGTGAACGACTAACCTGGATGAATGCTTGATTCACGTGGTATAGTATGATGTGAAATGTTGTGATGTGCCATGATCTCATGTACGTTCATGTCATTAACCATTTCCTTGCCATCCAATAACTACATTTTATAAGCAGGTTACTAGCTTGTTTAACTGCTATAGGCAAATTGCTGAAGAGTCAGTAATAAATGTAGTGAGGGATGAAGTTATAAAAATAGAATTAGACAGAATACATATGTGATGAATCGTAAAAATGTGTTGTCCTAGGCCAAGTGATGTCACACTGTTATAAGTTTGTATGCTTAACAAACCTTGAATCATTAGTAGATAAGTCTGAAACGAGTTCCTGATCCGTGACTGTCGAAAGATGTCCAAGAAGGATGTGGCGTGTTTCTGGATCGTACTGCTCCTGTGCCAAGAGCTACGGACCGACCCGATCGCAGAGATGGGACCATCCTCCGGCATCCTGATTCAAGAGACACCAGGGTTCATCTTAACAGAGAAGAGGATCCTGACCAGACGTGTGTTCGTCAGCTTGGACCCCAAGATTTCCATCGAGAAGGCATACAACATTTCATCGATGCAGCTTCCTGAGTTACAGACTTGGTACCAGATGCACCTCCAAAGAGCACAGGACCGTGTGCGAAACATCTTGGAGCAAGCCCGGAAACCATTTGTATCCAGTTCTATTCCGATGAGCAACCGACCCAAAAGGTTCCTCACCGCTATAATTGTTGCATTAGTTTGTGCCACTGTCGGTGCAGTTGTCGCAACTGGAATGTCTGCAGCCAACTCTATTACTGTCCAAAAGCTGGATATGGAAATCTATGCGCTAAAGCAACACATTAACGATATTCATCAGGTGATACAACAGCAAAGAACACTTCTCCAAGACGTGTTAACTATTGTGGAAGACACAGTTGTTACAACAAATTTGCATTCGGAATTGATTGCCAAATCCACTGAGTTGCACAAAGTCATGACTTATTTAAGCGTGAACTTCTATTTCTGCATGACCCAATATTGTTCCACACACTTGCTTTTCTCGACGAAGTGCAAACTGGAATGATCGAATTGGCAGGGGGACGCATACCTCTGTATTTTGTATCCAAGGATATTGTTCATGCGATGCTTGCCAATGTGGATGGAGAGACAATTGAGCCTATGCAATTAAATCTGGCCTTTGAGATGGGGAGCGCTATACCTCTCTTAATTGATCCGGAACGTATGGAGATTTGCTTTTTATTGACCATACCATATGTAACTCCCAAAGACATTTTTCAAATGAAAATAATGTACTATGTAATAATGATATTATGGTTGATTGTACTAGGTGTAAAGTTCAAAACTTTTACAGGTACAAATATATACAAAAATGTTCATTCCACGCACGGGCCTATGTTAGAAATGATGTGATTGCACAATATGTCTGGTAACTTCTATAGTGCTTATTCATAAGCTAAATTAATTTTGGCTATGAAATGCACTAAAGGGGGGTTATGTCAGAGTATTTATATCGGCAGACATTTTGTGCTATGATAGAAACTAAAAGTGTATATTCTGAGTCACTCTGAACAGATCAGACTCCATTTTGTTATTCCAAGTTAACAAAGAGACACTATATTTCTATCTGTAAGCTAACCACTTTCCCAGAGCTGAGGAATGCATAGTATAAACAAGTGATAAGGAAGGGGGTTGGACAGACTGTCTAATGCTAGAAGAATATAATCAAATCTAAACCCAGACAATTGTGACAGAGAAGATTAAATAATTTAATATTTAACTGTCTATATATATATAAGGTACCATTGTATGGAAAAGGGTAAACTTAGTTCATGATCTGCCATATCAGAAATTATAGCAGATTTACCAGACACATAGTCTGGACAAAATTTAAGAAACCCTCTGATCTTTGAAGGATACGTAAGTTATAGTGGTCATTTGAGATAAGCAAAATGACGTCAAAATAGCCACCAGGAAAAGTTAACTCTTTCCTGGATAGGTATGTTTAGTGGGACAAGACTGCCCTCTACAGACCAAATAACTAATTTGCGATCTGGAAGATAACCACACCTCTAGTGCTTCTATTGGGTTATCAACTGATGACGTACAGAGAGTCTGGCCCTTTTAAAAGTTAAGACAAAGGGAAGATAGAAAAAACAAGACGAAGGAGGCAGATGCAAGATATGCAAAGGAGAGAAAAGAGAGGAATTGGAAGTTTGGGGACTCCAACCTCCATGCAGAGACACATCCAAATAAATTCCTGAGACTACCAATCGGATGAAATATCTACTCAGCTGGTAATTATACTGGTTTCATTTAATTAAATTAAATTAATTAAATTATATTAATAGCATTATATATGACTGGATAAAGCACGGTCAGATTTCCATATTAAGAAATCTTAGTTAACTAAGAATATATAGTTATAAACATTCCATTCTGCAGGTGGAATTAAGAATAATTATATATTGATGTGATATTATCACGTGTTAGCATACCGCTGTTTTTATCCAGGTGTATTGATTTGCTCTAAATTAAGATAGATATCTTTTAGACAAATTAAAAATCTGCTTATATAATATGTAGATTCTCTTATTGGATGGTTTAAGAAAATGAATTTAAACTGGTTTAAATGTTATTTTATTTAAAAAATTACATAAGAAAAGATCTTAACTACCTAGGAGATCTAGCCAGCATTGAAAGGGTTATTCTAACTGTCTGCTAAACTTTACGACCTTATGCTGCACTCTGAGGAATTCTGTTCTTCTGTGAAAAGTTTCACTTTCAGCCCGTGTTAAAGATAGTCATAAATAATTCTTGACAGGAAATGCTATTTAGCCATTGTAACGTAATACCCATTTCTTTGTATTGCATATAATTTTATACTGAATATTCATTGATTATTGTCATGCATGTTACATAATATTATTTGTTAATTATTGATTGTCATATAAATAAAATCTATTTTTATACATTGTGATATTAATTATATGAAATACATTCCACTTAACACGATAAACGTTCTTTGGGATCTGAGAATTGAAATAGTGGGCAATTCTCACTGTTACTATTATTATCCCATAAATATCCCCACATGGTGTGCTGTGCCTTTTTTTCGCCACACATAGTATTGTGTGTTTCTTCCAAACAACTCAACTTTGGTTTCATCTGTCCACAGAATATTTTGCCAGTACTGCTGTGGAACATCCAGGTGCTCTTGTGCAAACTGTAAACGTGCAGCAATGTTTTGTTTGGACAGCAGTGGCTTCCTCTGTGGTATCCTCCAATGAAATCCATTCTTGTTTAGTGTTTTACGTATTGTAGATTCGCTAACAGGGATGTTAGCATTTACCAGTGACTTTTTTAAGTCTTTAGCTGACACTCTAGGATTCTTCTTCACCTCATTGAGCAGTCTGCGCTGTGCTCTTGCAGTCATCTTTACAGGACGGCCACTCCTAGGGAGAGTAGCAGCAGTGCTGAACTTTCTCAATTTATAGACAATTTGTCTTACCGTGGACTGATGAACAGCAAGGCTTTTGGAGATACTTTTATAACCCTTTCCAGCTTTATGCAAGTCAACAATTCTTAATCGTAGGTCTTCTGAGAGCTCTTTTGTGCGAGGCATAATTCACATCAGGCAATGCTTCTTGTGAACAGCAAACTCAGAACTGGTGTGTGATTTTTATAGGGCAGGGCAGCTGTAACCAACACCTCCCATCTCATCTCATTGATTGGACTCCAGTTGTCTGACATCTCACTCCAATTAGCTCTTGGAGATGTCATTAGTCTAGGGGTTCACATACTTTTTCCACCTGCACTGTGAATGTTTACATGGTGTGTTCAATAAAAAATGGCAACTTTTCATTCTTTGTGTGTTATTAGTTTAAGCAGACTGTGATTGTCTATTGTTGACTTAGATGATGATCAGATCACATTTTATGACCAATTTGTGCAGAAATCCATATCACTCCAAAGGGTTCACATACTTTTTCTTGCAACTGTACATCTACCTATATACCATATATATACAATGTATATAGTACATTAAAAATAATAATGAGCCATACCCCACAACCCCAACACATACAGTCTAGGTAGCAGTGATAAACACGGAGTAGAATAAACATATAACTAGTGTCATGAGTACACGCTACTCCAAGACTGTGCGTGACTCAGTTGTGGTGGTGAAAGGGTTAAAGTTCATTATATGTCTGCACTAGACGGAAATAATGATAAAAATCCCCCTTAACACAACCCACACTTAACCCCTTAAGGACCAAACTTCTGAAATAAACGTGATTCTTTACCAGACAAAGACAGAACTTAATAAAGGAATATTTATTATGAGAAAAAAATAGTCACAGTGCATACAAAAATATAGATGGCAATCAAATTATTTACACCAACAACAGATAAAAACAAAAAAAGATAAAATAACAGAAGTCCTAATCACTTACTCACTTAGGTTTTTAAAGTAAAACTTCTGCCCAGGGAGTCTGTGGCAAGGAAGATGGTGACTCAAAATTAGATTTTGGCCCCTGTGGATTGTGGATATATACCCTGTGGACTGCCAAGCCTGGCCCAGAGTTAGAGATAAGGCGTACCTATAGAAACAATAAGTGACTACCACCTTCCAGGTCAACATTAATCCAAATGGAAACTTTTGGTTCTATCTCCTCTTTTGTACTTGCCACCAAAATAATCATTGCATCTATGAATTTGTTAGCATTTTTCCATTCCATAGATATGTCACTACTTGTGACCCAATATAGCGGACATTTCAATACCTTCCCAAATGGCTTAAGTTACACAAATCATGTTTAGGCTTGATTAGAAGATTGTGCTTGTCCCATTCTAAATATTAAAAAAAATTAGACTTAATTATTAATCTGTGGGTAAGTATTAATGTTTCTTTTGGATATGATACTGGAATGCAAGGGTTTTCTTGAAGGCTTATGGCCATTAACATATCAAAGAAATTAACTATCAATTAAGAGTTTCAAGCCAAATGGTCAAAGTTAGTTAGTTTACATTGGAACTAAACATACAGGCAGCTCACGTGTGGACTTTCACACCTTGCAGAGTAGTTCTGTTGGGCTTCCTAGCTTCAAAGAGGAATTTGGGTTGTAAACCTTCTGACCTCCCATACAATCAAATGAATCCCTTTTGGAATTGGCTATACCACCTCTACCAGGTAACCAATTCATTTATGCATTACATTAAATGGCAATATTCTATACTGCAACAATGAATTATGCACCCTTGCCATGACAACTGGGCATTAGCGTGGTCTGAATTAACAAACTATAAAAAGGAAACATAGTTAATAGCAAACCTAGGTCAGGGTACAAGAGAGACAGCTAAAGCAAGAACTAGCTGAAGTCAGGTACATGGTAAATCAATCAGTAAGCTAAACAGGATAGGAAAGGGTCACAAATAAACTCAGGGTCAAGAACAAAGCCATGGTCGATAACACTATTTAGCAAGGAACTAGGATAAGGCGCAGCAAGTAGGGTCAGAGAAGCTTTAATACTATTTGGTGTATTTTGACTGGTCCATGTCATGTCTGTGACCTCAAAATGTACATGAATGGGAGGCCAGACTAACGTGGACCAATTAGAACTGGAAGTGAGGCAACAAGAGCAGCATTATTTCCCTTACATTTCAGGCTGAGCAAATGGCAGTAACACTTTGGAGTCTTCAGTACCAGAGGACCTCAGCTGGCATGAGGACCAGGTATGTAGTGTTACACTGACTGATTCTTGCACTGTGGCAGTGCCTGCCAGTTCCTCACATGCAGTTGGTAGATACTGATACGACACATTTGATTTGCAGTGTGGTTGTGTTTGGCAAATGGCAAGCTTCTTCCCTCAGTAATATCTCAATGTGTTGCTGTAGTTTACTGCACATTTGAACCCTACCCATTTTGGCATTATGTGGCTGTACAGTGTTGCAGGCTGGGTACATCATCATAGAAGATTAAGAACCAGTTTGTAAAGTAATATTTTTCTTTAACTGTGTGCAGTGTCAAAAAACTGTGCACTGTAGCAAACTGTGTGCAGTGTC